GAGTGGACATCTGGTTCCCGTCTGGCCCGCGGTGGGTGACCTGGTCTAGGTAGAGTGTCGCCTGACGTAACATATCCAATTAAGCTATTTAAGCCACCTGTGAATATTTTCTACCAAATTTTTAAATCTCAAACGGCTGCTGCCTATAGCTTGAAACTTAAACATTTGGGAGAAAATATTCTGCAATGGTCTGGGTAGTTCAATTGGGTAAATACCAGTCCTACAGGCGGAAGATCCGAGTTCGAATTTTCAATCCAGTAGTAAATTGACCGGCCGAATATTTTTCTTCCTACAAATGTCTGTCATCTAGAAAAATAATTTAAAATAAATTATAAGCTATAATGATTTAATTCAAAATGTATCTATTACAATTATTATTATCATTAATATGATTAGGGCACCAGAAATTCTAACGAGAAGCGGACATGGAAAAGCAGTGGATTGGTGGAGTTTAGGTGCTTTAATGTTTGACATGCTTACCGGAATGGTACGTAGATAATAAATAACAAAATATCGTATGGTACGTAAATAATAAATAACAAAATATCGTAAAAGAATATGAAAATTCAATCAAATTACGTAACTACATACATTTTAATCCCTACAGCCACCATTTACAGGAGATGACAGAAGAAAAACAATTGAGAAGATTTTACGCGGAAAGTTATGTCTACCATTGTACCTAACACCCGATGCAAAAGACTTGATACGAAAGTTATTGAAGGTATGTCTTTAACACTTCTTTACAAGATAATGGTAATTTGTTTATTTACTTAATTGTTTGTATTATGCGTAGTAAAAGTTAATATATATGTCGGAGATGAAAGGACATCGGAGCTTTCCCTTTGGAACTTCGGGAAAATCCCTTAACACCGCCTTAACACCGTAATCTAGATTCAATAACGAATCCGCAGTCGACGAGATGATAGATGAACGTGCTCACAAAATCTAAGCCGGACTCTTTCTTAAAACATGGAATATCCACCGAAAGTACAGACACTAAGTAACTCGCTAATACGACCTCACGAGAGAATGATTTTCCGTTGCGATGATGCTGCAGAAGAAAACTATGATGGGGTGTATCTAAGGGCACGAGATCATCGGATGCGTGGAAACATTCCTACGGTTTCTGTCCCGCGGCACGCCATACGCAGTCCCTATTCTTCGGATATGATGGTTACCAGATGCCGACGCATCTCCACAGTACATGTTCAGCTAGCCTGAGGGCCGTTATAAACATTAAGATCTGGTTACCTAAAGTCCTTGAAACAGACAAACAATCTTTGTCCCAACTACGGGAAGATAGGGGAGATCTATTTTTGAACGAACGACGCTTCCCGCTAGCAATCTTCCCTCAAGGACGGCTGGCATCCTTTTCTAGCCATCAACGTGGAAATTGACCAATTAACAGCAACGTCAATTTCCCTCACTTTCTGAACGAAGGCATCCCATCATAGTTTTCCTCTGCAGCATCATCGCGACGGAGGGTCATTCTCTCGTGAGATCGTTTTTAGCGAGTTACTTAACGTCTTTACGCTTAGTGGATATCCCACGTTTTAACAAAGAGTTAGTTTAGTTATACTTCCACCGTAGCCAAGCAAGTCGAGTACGATTTGGGCTTCGGAAAAAAGCGCATCCTGTTATCCCGTTGACCGCGGATTCATTATTGAACCTAAGATCATTGTCATTAGCTTCTCGAGTATCTAATTACCACGATTATTTGTAAAATTCCGTAATAATCGTATTTGCACTAGTCAATGTCTTCTCTATTGCATAACGACAATGTGTAATCCAAATGAAGATTGGTTTCACGCCCCTAACCCTAATTCTAATGTAAACCCGATATATATTTTGCATTCGACCAATTGTAGAGACAAGTGTCACAGAGACTAGGATCTGGGCCTGATGATGCTGAGCAGATTATGAATCATAACTTCTTCAAACATATTAAGTGGCAAGATGTGATTTCACGTAAATTAGAACCTCCTTTCAAGCCTTCATTAGTGAGTATCCTTGATTACAATAAAACGTGTTGCAATAATAAATGCGAGCAAATGTGTATTTAAATGTTTGCAGAAAAGTGCCGATGATACATCGCAATTCGATGAACAATTCACGGCAACTGTACCAGTTGATTCACCGGTAGAAAGTACTTTAAGTGAATCCGCTAATATGATCTTTCAGGTAAGTTTCGAGATATATTGTAAATATATCGTATTTGAAGTAATCATTAAAAAATTATAAAACTATGCACATTCAATGATATGGTTATAGGGCTTTACATACGTAGCACCCAGTGTCTTGGAGGAGATGTGTGCACAACCAAGAGTTGTGAATGCTAGAAGCCCACGTAAAGGTCTATTAAATACAGAATTTAGCGGAAGTCTTCACAGTTTGTCATCGAGATCACCCGATGCCCATCTCCATACAGCGTCTCATTTTCATCAACATAGGTATTTTAAAATTTGATATTTCATTCACCATCTTAAAAAACAAAAATATCTTATATGTAAATTCAACGGTAATTATGTATTACTCATTTGAAATATGCACTTCTATGCTTGAAAAGTTACTTTTTAATTTCTAGGCATCACGTTGTAGGTTCAAATAATATGGAAGATACCGAAATGGCGGATATAGGTCCGCTTTTTAATTTCTAAGCATTGCATAATAAATTTTAATGATGTAGAAGATATTGAATTAACAGTGGAATCGTTTATAACGAGATACATATAAATAATCGAAGAAAACGTTGGATCTTCCATTTTAGATTCAGCAAAATCTTTGTAAAAATTATGTCCTACATTGTTTGTCTTTTATTCTGACAGTTGAACTATTATGTTTAATTATCGAATTTAATGCAATTTGTTTACATATATATATATATATTTAAAGATGAATAAGTCTAAATGTCGAAGAAGTTACGCTTATAGGGCAGTGCAATTCGCGTACAAATCGTATGTAGGCCTGCAATTGCTCTCTAATGTGACTGATCATTGTTTTCAGTGCAAAGAAGGAATATTATATGCGTTTTCCTTATGTAAATATGTCCAGTTTCCTGATAATAAGTACATTCTGTTTAAACAAAATGCTATATCATTGAAAAACCTGAAAGATATTTTTTATGACATATCTTACTGTTGCAACGACTAATTCAAGTTTTTAAAACGTTCCATTCATCGACAAGTACGAGTTTATCGTTAGTATATAAAAATTAAGTTAGTATATAAAAATAAATTTGTTTAGCTTGCATATATTTAGAGGTCTGCCATAAAAAGAATAAAATGAATTTACCGCCTCTTTGGAATGCATTGCTCATGCGAATATGTAAATCGTGCAACTTTTTCATTGCTTTGTTGTTCAATAAACTAATTGTAAGTTCAAAAAAGTTATTTACATAAATATACATTCCGAAGTAATTCACAAATTTCTTAGACGATAAACATCGTATTAAATTTATATAGATCATGTTGATTGAGACTAGTATATTGGATACAGCTAAACTTGAAAGTCTTGTTCTGCCATTAGAATAAAATTAATTTCTTAGGACCAGAGAAAGAGGGAGAGCATGCAAATAAAATAAAGAAAGGAAAAGGAAGAAGAATAACAGTATAAAAATAAAAATTGTATTGATCTTTGTTAAAGTAGAATCGGAGAAGGATTATAAATATATATATTTTCCTCTGTCGAATAGTTGTAATCGTCGCAAGTGGTAGCGTTTTGTAAGAGGAAAAAATTAGAATATCTCATGGTCGTATATGATATCCCATTTTAGGATTCAAACTTCAAAAATATATTTTGCAGTAATGATTAGTGGAAATAGAATTAATCGAGATATTTTATACGACCTTTGATTAAAATTTGAAAAAAATGTTTTATTGTTTCTTCCAACTTATATTTGATGAATTATTTAAGCATATGTATATTTCACTCAAGAATAAATTTATCACTAGTCTTTATACGTCATTCGCTAATTACATGTACATACATAACTTTGAATACATCCGTCGATAGACAACAATAAATCATTGTTTTTATTCAATAGCCAATCCGATTCTACTTTTTACATATAATCGTTGTGAAAATGACAATTATGCAAAAAATTTTAACTGCCCAAGTGTTCACAGCTACCGGCTGGATAGTATTAAATTTTCCATAGAAAGACTTATACGCGCTCATCTGCGCATGCGTGTGTAGTAATAAGTATGTAAAATTCTTGTTAATAGTTAATTATGTTATAAAAGTAAAATGTTGAGAGTGAGAAATTAACATCCTGTAAGATAAATATATGAAGGTATGAAAATGCTTTCTCACTTTTTTCTTTAAAATATAATGCATTAATGAATTTACTTCTACATATATCTTTTCATGACAAACTTATAACAAGAAGAAGTGACCAAAGCATTTTCAAATATACATGCCTAAATATCCAATAGTATCATTCAATTTAATTTAGTGACTATTTCGCTGTTTTGGTATCTGTAATTAGGACATATCAAAAAGCTTGACACTTAATTTCGTATAAACATTTATCTATTATATAGTACTATCTTAAATTGACATAGGCTATATTTTAAAACTAAATCATTCTCGTGTATATAATATTACAATAGAAATCCTGTTTATGTATTTATTAAGCAGTTACATTCTCTTGAAAACAAAAGTCCTATTAATACTTAATGATATTAATGTTACATATTCATAATAAAATACCAATTATAGCCATCTACGGATGAAATAATAACAAGTCTAAAATAACATTTGTGTAAAAAATTTCTTTAAACAGTCTTGTTCCATCTGAAATATATATTTATGAAACTATTATTTCTATTGTTCACTTAAAATTTATTAATTAATTACATACATTGTGCTTTTTATTCCATCTATATGAATATACAAGGTGAGTCAGATTAAACTATTACACCTGAAATATTTTTGTGTATATGTATAACATAAATTCTCAACTTTCACACTGAGAATTATACTTTTGATCGTGAAGCATATGAAAAGGAATGCAATTAATATCTTCTGGAATGACATAGAATATGTAACTCACTATGCATATATCGTACTTCTTGTACTCTACACAACTTATGTGAATACCAGATACAGCGTGCACCTTTACACCACACGTGTATTTTTGATATCGAAAACACAATTAATTTTAAAATCGTTTAGTTCTCTTTTTGTTTTGATTTTCATTGATTTTGTCTTCATTAGACTCTATGAACTTTCTTTTCTTGTAGATATAACAATCTTCATTTTTACTTTCCTTCACATCTTTTCCATGATATTTCTTGTATTTAGGTTTCCTTTCATGCTTAAATTCACTTCTTCTCTTCTGATTACCTGTTCTATCTTTCTCTTTTTTCCGATGACGATTCATAGAGCCACCATTTGAAATATAACCTGCTTTTTCCTTTTTCTTTCTTTCTTTTGCTTGTTTCTTCTTAACCTTTTTTGATATGTAATCATTTAAAGTTTTATCAATGGTATTCACAGAGCTACTATCACTACTTATAATGCTAGTACTCGAACTACTAGTACTACTATCACTATAGCTATCACTGCTGCTGCTGCTACTACTGTCAGTTTCTGATTCGCTATTATTTCTTTTGCGTTTATTTCGTTTCTCTTTCAATTTCTTCTTTTCCGCTTTCTTGGTTTTTTTCTCAAGTTGTTGTAATTTCCTACAATCATAAACATTATTGATTTAAGCATGTATGATCTCAAATTAACATTATTTTGAAATAAACTCAAGTTCTTGTCAAAATACAGATGCAAGAAATACATACAATAATAACTTCTTTTTTTCTTTTTTAGACAAGGTTTTCAAGAATGTAATTTCAGATTGCTCTTCATCATCTGATACCATAAGATGTTCATGCTCAGGGACTCGTAAATGTTGTTGAGCACTAAGAGCAGATCTACAAATAAAATTCAATATTTAGTTTTAAAATAGGGAGCTATTTATTTAACAGTTAAAACAATGGAAAAAGGAAGAGATCTTTCTAAATCCGTGCTCACTTTTTAAGTGCTAATCCATCTTCTCTCATTTGTTGCACTAACGTTAAAGCATCTGGAGCAGATGTACTTGGTGAATTATTTGCCATTACTACGCTCATTGCTTGACTGTACAGAGGACACTCTTTATCTGTGATCAAAATATGTATTGTTTAATATGGATAAATATGTGTATGTGTGTATATATATATTTTGATATCATATTTATTATACAAACCTGTATTTATGTGTCCCCATTTATGACACTTGATACAACGAACATTTCGTACTTGAATACCAAATGGTTGATCTCTTATTTCGCTGTCTCCTTTACAATAACTTTCTCTTGGTGCATTGTACTTGCGTTGCCACTCAAATTTATACTCTGGCTCATTATCTTCTTTCTCTCTTTCTTTTTTTGCTCCAGGTGGTGGTTCATACATAAAATTTACGCTAAGCTTATCCTTGCTTTCTTTACTCAACAAAGCTCTATAAAACACATAATAAAATAAATAAAAAGTTATAGATAAAAATATATCAAAGAAATTTGCTGAATGAATATAATTTTGGTCACTTGTTATTGTGAAGATCCTGTTCCTTTTCATATTGAACACGTAATTCTTCTTGCTTTTTCTTATAAGCCTCTGCTTGTTGTTCAGCCATCCATACCTTAAAAAAAGGATCGTAAATTTAATCATAGTACGAACCATAAATAGGCTAAAAAAATATCAGTAGTTGAACCGTACTCGTTTCAAGTTGTCTCGGGATGCTGGATGGAAAAATTTTTTGCACATGTAATTATTAAATCCCTTTCCCATTTTGTATTGTTAAATAAACGTATGTCAACGTTTAACAAATAATAATGTAGATGGACGTGTATTTAACGTTTACAATGAGTAACGAAGTATATGCGTAACCGCGACTTATCCTTTAACACGATAAAATAGCATGTATATATGTATAACTTTTACTTATAGCTACAGGAACCTGTCAAGGAAGGTTAGTGCAATTGATTGAGAACATCGCAATTCTATTCTATATCAAGTATTTCCTTCTTGTAAATAAATTGTTTTTTGTGTAAAAAAACATTTTAATAGATTGGAAAAAAGTGTCGTTTTTATTAATCGATATTAGTCAATTAGTGTCATAAATATTACAGATTCCCACTGTATCATGTATTGTTGCGAGTGCAACTAAATACGTTTTAAAGGTTATAAGGTTATTTCAGTTCAATATAAAAGTTGGAAACAAATTGCTTTCCTACTGATAAATATTAAGACGGATTAGATAAGAAAAACATTACGTGAAGTTAAGAGTTTTCTTTTGATTCGGTTAATAGTATAATTTCAAATGCAATGAAAATAAACGAGAAAAATATGGTAGCTTTTGCAACTTCAGCAACACCAGTAGATCGTGAAGGTTGGTTGAACAAACGTGGTGAATTGAATCGTGGTTATCAAAGAAGATGGTTCGTTCTCAAAGGAAATATATTATTTTATTTCGACCGACGCGGTGACAAGGAACCTGTGGGCATGATAGTTCTTGAAGGTTGTACCATTGAATTAGCAGAAGACGAAGAACAATTTGGTTTTCAGATCGTATTTCATGGTCCAAACAATAGAAATTATGCTCTTGCAGCAGAATCTCAGGTAAAAGTATTTCTTGATAAATTTGATTTTTATAATAGAAATTATTGTCTCTATAATAATGGTCAGTAGAGAACGAATCTATACTGTGGGGAATTTTTAGGAATCTATGGAGCAGTGGATGAAAGCTTTAGCATGTGCAAGCTATGATTACATGAAATTAATGGTAGCAGAATTACAAAGACAACTGGATGCAGCAGAAGAAGAAACAACAATGGTGATGGCTCCTGCTCAGTCTCCAAAAGCTCCTCCAAGACAACGACATAATCCTTTCAATAGATCCGAGTTGCATCATCGCTCGCAGAGCGTTAGATCTGCTCCAGGAAGAACGGAAAATGTTCCAAGAACGAGGATAACGTTTCGCGAATTGCATAATATGTATGGTAGAAGAATTTTGGCAGACTTGAATGAATGGAGGCATACGAGAAAAACTGTAGAAGCTCCTTTAATTAGTTTTTAACGATGTATTATATACAGATTGTAAATATTTAATCGGAAATAAGGTGATGTGTAGCTGGCGAAAGAAATATAACGAAATTGCAAAATCAATTATCATATATGTATTATTTACACATTATAATTTTGCTACGATTCAGTATTGAGAAAGATGGAATTCTACATACGCGCTACCTTGGATATTCCTGCAATCGATCGATCAACTATATTACTCGATGTTTTAATTTAAGACTTGGCTATATTTCTTCCATCGATAATACGAGTATTAAGTATCATTGGAATGTACTGTACCATTTATTTTTATAACAACGAAATATTTACAATCAAAATGTAACAAAATACTTTCGATCATTAATAGAACATTACAAATTTTTGCGATCGTAAACAATAGAAGGTGACCGTACATTACAGTCGTGCATCATTCTCAATGTAAGTTAAATTACATATGGAATTCATTCAGATACCAACGTTTCATTGTGAAATTTCAAACAAATCAAAATAATTAAAATGTATAATTGGAACAATAATTTCGGAGCAGTAAAAACAATATCAATTAAAGAAAAGCAACTATTTACGAAGATTAACGTTTTAATCTCGGCGCATTCACGGTACTTTAACTACTTAAGAATAATTTTATCGAAATTGTACAAGGAATTGCAAGTAAAACAGAATGCCGTTACCATTACTCGAATTTGAGTGATGAACGTACATGAAAATGTTCAATATCAGTTAATAGTTGAACAAATAATAAACCATATAGAGTTGTGTAAGTGGTTAAAAAACCGTACAAATATCGCTTGGCTTTAATAAAAATACTTAGCAATGCACTAACAACTTTCTTATTAAATATTCCATTAGAATAAATATTGCAATCCTATGTATATTTGTATAAATGAACATTTCATCGAGTTACAAATCTAAAATGTTACTTAAATTTGAAAACACTTTTCTTCCTCACATCACCCGGTAAATGTCTGGCACCCAATAAAAGTCGAGCTTTATCTTCTTCTTGCGGAGCGGATTCTTCCTGTGGACCTCTTGGTTTTATTTGTAATTTCTGCTTAATAGCTTGACTTAATATTACACGTCTAGAATCGCTTTTCATAGCCAAAAGAAGGTCGAGCCATGTCCAAGTAACATTATGATATTCCAACGTAGGTATTACCAGAGCAAAATCCCGAACATCTTCCAAATTTTTCTCTTTATTTCCCTATTGGTGGATTGCGTGTGTATGCGTGTGCGCGTGGAAAAACATGTGATTTATTAATGTTAGTTTGGTAACTCGTAATTTGTTTGAGAGCAATATGAAACAGAAATATGATGGTTTCGTGAAAATTGATTGTAAATACCTTATAAGAGACACGAACGGGTACTTCAGGTATTTTAATATATATAAATAGTTTATTTTTATCTGCTCGTTCTTTCATTTTTTCCACGTCATCCCTTCTTTCGATTGGCACATAAAAGGAGGAATCTCGTTGCGGTGCAGGTGGCTCTTCTATTCCTTCCGGATCTCTCTCAGGAAAACAGAATTTGAGCATCGTATTGAAAAACTTTTTCGTTAATCCTAACAGTAAAACGATTGATCTCAATTAGCATTGGAAGACAAATGAAAATGTTAGGATAGAGAAGAAAGTAGAAAGGTGTAGGAGGAGAGAGAGGAGAAGGAGGAGAAGTAGGATATACGACAATATGCAAATTACCTACCTATCGTTAGTGGAACAACATTGATTTCGAAATGTTCTTTGACGGATATTCCAGCAACCGGTGCTTTTTCTCTACAGAAAACACGAAGAGCTCGTTGCCTATCAACAGGCATATTACTTTGCAGTTCAGTGGGTGTCAACACCTCCGTGTAGATTTGATTCGGCAATAAATTTGTCATTCTAACATATCCTAATTCAAGGAGATGTTCAACCGAATCGTCGGTTTTGCTAGTTTTGGTGTATAAGAAATTAGTTAATATAAGATCGGCGATTCCTAATTGACCATCTGCATCCGTTAATCTCCACTGAGCGTGTTTGAAGCAAATTTCTGCTACTCTAGCAACTGCTGCCGGTTTATCTTTCAACGTGGTAGAAGCTGTGGTTGGGGCGGTTGTTTCCTTATAACAGCTTAACATTACATCGAGTTCTTCCGCTTTTGCTCCGAGCTGTTCCTTACATTCGAAAACTCTAGCTTCTAGCCGTTCCATTTCTGCTAATAACTCAGGGCTAGATTCCTCCGCAAGAGCTTTTTGAACCAAATACGTTTCACGCTCCAATCTCCTTAATTTTGCCACTAAACCACGCACAGTATTTTGTAGTTGTTGAATCGGCCGTTTTTGATCTTCAACCGAGTGTAATTGCAATTGAAATCGCATTCTCTGCAAACGTTCAGACGCTTCTTTTCTCCTCGGTTCTACGTAAAGAAGCAAGTTGTTAACGATATCTAAAATCATAGCGTACTGCAACGAATTCGTGCAAACATCCAAATCGTGATGCATCAATGTAAACGCGTCAGCTGCTGAAAGATCTTTCCTTTCCCATGGGCTAACTTCTTCTCTTGGCGGTGGTGGAACTTGATCGATAGAGCCAACGTCTAAAGCTTGTCCATAACCAACGTAGAAGAATTCGCATTTACATCTCGAGACGATACGTTGTAATTGGTGTTGAGGGCCACCGCCACCGCCAACCGTTTGACTTACCACACCACCGACGCTCTGTCCTGAACCAACCAGCGCCGGCACATCTGGTAAACCAGCTATCACAGTTGAATCTTTCTCCTAATTTAATAGGTCAAGAAACTTTAGTTAACGTCAATTTCAAACAATTTTGCTTGTACAATTTACCTTCTAATTATTTTCAACTTACTTGTATATTGTCTAATGTCAACCACATTATATTATCGTCGATATTTTCGTCAATGTTGGCACTGACAGTCGCATAATACTGCATACATTCTAACGATCCGACCCAGGTTGTCTTTGATACTAAAGTTCTTTCTTTCCACACAGGTTGATGAACTCTTTGCAATATTTCCGCTTTAGCCGCGGACAAGATCACGTAGCCTCGCGTTTCGATACCTTTCAATAATACCTGACTATTCACTAAGGCAACTGCAAAATACAAAGCAATACAATTTTTTCTTTTCTTTTTCTTCTTCTTTTTCAGTTATATACTGAAGTTGAATAAAATTAGATAATTGTAAAATGCACACACATACTTAGCCAATTTTTGTGAAGGACATCATCTTGATGACAAGCTGCTAGTCCACGTAATTGTTGACCTCTCGTTTGTACCGATAAATCGTCACTGAACGCAACCGGTTTGTTTGCAGCTTCGGCTATTAATCTCTGCAACATACCGACAGCTTCACCTTGTTGCGGTTTCGTGGCGGATGACGCATTTACTTGTGTCGCCACGTTTTGCACCTCGACTGATCTTGTTCGATTTTTGTGCGGTGTCGATGAACTTTCTCTGTGAAAGCCTTTCAGGGCTGCGGTAGACAGATTTTTCTTTAGCTGCTGAGTTTTTATGAAAGAATCAAAAAGTGCAAACGCTACGTCTCTATTCGTCTTTGTCCAAGCTCCTTTTAAATCGTGTACGACAAGTCTATGCGTGGGAGTATCCCCTCCGGTGACTCCGGTTACCATTGCCTCTCTGCCGTAACTGACCCGAGCTACGCTTAAACAGTAACACTTTTCTACCGGTTGTCGGAGCGATGCACTCTCCTTGTCTTCGTGAAGCGCGCTTTTCAACCAAATTTCCGCATCACTAAGTTCGCAATTCATATACACGACCGACCATTCGGCTCTCGGTCGATGTATTAGTCCGTCATCGATCGGATGCAAAGACAAATTGTGTTCGCAACTACAAACTACTCTGCCACCAGTTACTTCGAAACCGCGTTGCATAGCGAATGACATCCAATAACTAACATGGAATTGATGGAAAGCCAGTGTCAACCGAACTTTCCTGTAATGCCTGCTCAACTGTTTCTTCCTAGGTCTGATATTCTTGAAAAGTGGCCCTTTTCTCGTTGGTCTTGTTGCGCCGGAGAGAATGAGTTTTAGATTTTCGAACCATCTGAGGGTGCTGCCGTAGAGTAAGGCGGTTGGTGCACTTGCTAACGCTGGAGATCCGGTTGGCTTCGTTTCCAGAGAAAGGCTGACATTCAAGTTTTGAGATCGAAACGCTCTGAACGAGTCGTGCTCTTGATTGCTCGAATATTCCGGTAATCTGTCCGGAGCGCAAGGTATCGCAGCATGATGGTCTCTAGGATCACCTAAGCAAACCCACGCTAACTTTATGCTCAAACGTACATTTGGTAAATGAAGTAATCTGCAATCATCGTATTTACTGGCCGTACGGACATAAACATCCAAATCTCCTTTTACGATAATTCTTCCCTGCGTCCAATCGAGTTCCAATCCTGTCCATGTAAGTTCCATCTCCTCCGTGGTATTGTACGGATCCAATGAACCATGTAGCAAAACTGTCAACTGCTTCACGCAAAGTGTTAATCTTCCGTGGAGAGCCAATCGCATTTTGTCCCAAAATGGTAATGGAGGGCTCGGATCTCGTGACGGATGGATGATTTTCTCGAAACTGAGATTGCATTGCGCTATGACCGGTTCCCAACAAGGCCCAAACGCATATCTGAACTTGTCGATATCCCAGTTCAGATCGTGATAATACTTCAAAGATGTCATGCCTCTTTCCACGACAATATCCTCCCAAGGAGTACCGATTTCGATTCTCACAGTTCGCCTGGCTCGTGGCGGTGCTAAAGCTTCTGCACCAGCTAGTCTACCCCAAACGCTTAAACTCTCAACCAACAGTAACGGTTGCGGAAAATCCCGCAATTGTAATTTCCATTCGGCGCACTTTAAACTGATTCCCCTTACCCATAAGGTACTGAATTCCAGACCATCTTCTGGCCAGGGAGTTTCCGCATCCATTTCTCGAAGAGCCCTCGTTGCATTTTCCGTACCATCGATCGATGGGTCGACTAAAGCCAATATCTCGATATCCGACATAGACCAAGCAAACAGACGCGTTCTAGCTGGGCCGGCGCGCTGCATTTGTTTCCACCGTTGTACATATATCTCCGCATTTTTTTTATTTAAACTAGCGTACAGTTCCTCAACTTTACCTTGAGGAAGTAACAAATGCGCTCGACAGAGTTCTTGCACTTTAGTATCAAGCATTGCTTGCCTTTTTAAGCTCTCTTTATATTCGTCCTCCAATAATTCGTAATTATCTCGTAAACGTACTTCAAACGGATCATCGCTTACTTCGAATATCCATTCTTTAATCTATAACATGTGAAATACTTTGCTTATATTTATTATAAAGAACAACTACTTCCATGTAAATCTACGTCTACTATATAAACGTACTTTTATAATTAAATCGCACGGTAAACGCTTTTCTTTTCTCTGACTCGATGACGATGACGATGAAGAAGAGAACGATGACGACGATGACGACGACGACGACGACGACGATGACGACGACGACGACGATGAATGAATTTCTTTTAACCATTTTTTTATACTGAATAATTCATTCTGAATCGCGTCAGTAAATTGATGTTCGTAAGGAAAGCAAGCTTTTATTGATTCGATGTTGAGCATCCAAGTTTCGTTCCAGTCCAAAACAAAACCTTCGTTACTTTGTCGTTCTAGTCGCACCTCTTCGCTGCTCAATACTCTGATTAATTCGAATCCTTCGATCATAATTATATCAGACATATCTAAAGTTACACGCATATAATTAAGTCTCCATTCTCCTTGCGTCCAACGTAACTGGTCCGATGAAAGCTCTAAAAAGTGTTTCGGAGAAATATCTATAGATAAACTGACCCCACCAGTAGCCAATATATCTATTAATCGTTTGTGCTGTTTATCAGTGTCTTCATCTGTAGAAAGAAGATTTAATAAAGTAAAAATGTAGTAGTAGAAAGATATAAAGAAGACAAATACAATAAAAGAAATGTAGGGTAAAAAAATAAAACGAATAAATGGATAAGGTATAGATTAACCTTGAGTGGTGTATGTCGATGAGTCTCCACTTATAATAGATCTAAAATCTGCAGACTCCAACCAAAGTTGTAAGAGGCGAAGATGTAAATTCGGACTCCATGCTAGACTGGTACCATCTAAACTAATATTTATCGCTTCAGATGTAATTGCACTTTTGCACTTCCTTATAGCTAAAAATGGATGTGCCAATGCTTGTGCGTGCTGACAGACAATTGGTTCATTTTTATTCAATGTGATCGCGCTAACACCCTCTGTTACGACCACTAATCGTTTTGCATTGTGCTCTAAATTTGCAGTATCCAAACGCATCATGACAGAGACTAAACAATCAATCGAGACATTGGTCTTGAACATCCTGATTAAAATTCTTAAATAGAATAGATCAATATATATGTAGTATTTTATATATATATATGTATATACATACGATTGTTTTCTGCGATAAAGAATAAATTACAATTTGTAATTTTGAGATTTAATTGAACAACGCTATCCGATTTTTTCGTATTTTTCATTGTTTCGGCTCTTCTATTGTACATTTGGCAACATCTGTCAAATAGCTAGTTTTTAGTAAATCAATTAGAATATTTATTTTTTATTTTTCTCGCATATCTTACTTGTATGCCTCTTTAAGAAATCTAGCTAGTTCCAGACTCCATTCAGTTACAAGAGCATCAACGGCAATCCCTATGGCATTGGTACGGGTCGTAGCTAATAATACTCCGATAGACAAAGGCGTTCCCCATCGATGAGATGTTTCCGAAATAATGGTATTGGAACCGTTTAAGGTACAATACAAAGATTCCACTACTAACTCTGTGTTCCAACTATCTATTATGTCTACGAAATTAAACGATCATTAAATAATTACTAGTAATTTACTATAATTACTATTAAGTTTAGTATGTATTAAGTATCTTAATATAGAGGAACAAGTAAAACGTATCAATTACAAGCCACATTACACATACCTGTAAGTGTATTTAGCGAAAATTTCATATGTGCTACACCACACGAAGCTTCGTGAACATCCAATAATTTGATGCATAACGACGAATCATAAAGTTCAGTATTTACTCTAATATCTAACCATGGTAATTTATTTTTTAATGTTATACTATCGACAGGTCTTGAAACTTCATTATCGGTATTACACAATATCGACTCCCAGTCTTTATGATCATAAATAATAGAAAGATTACTGATCTGTGTAGCAATTTGTAAAATGTCTTGCTCCATCTATGTGTATAAGTAATAATCATATTACATGATAATATAAATCTGTTACAATACAATGTGAAACAGTGACAATCTGTAGATGCAAGTCCTGTAGTACCTTTGAATTTACTATTAATGATCGTAATGTCAAAACAGGGAGTTTACTACGAATTGATAATCCATCCAAATTTAAGGTAAAATTTAATAGCAGGTCAGATGGTTGGAATTTCGTGCTAATTTGCAAACCCTTCATTGTACCTTCCAAACCAAGTACTACGCCATCTTCTCTACCCGTAATTATGGAAGAATTACCCACTTTCAGGATAAAATCCTGAAAATATATTTAATTATGTTTATCTTTTTTAAATCTTTAATAATTCGCGCTTTTGTCTTTGAATTTGGATAGATCGGTGGTAGATAGTAATGAATTCACCTTTGGTATAACTGGTGCTAACCGAGCTAAGAGATTAGTAGAAGGATCGACACGTGTATCTGAATACGAAGATGCAGCATTAGTTAACGAACTTCTGTCTTTGAAGAATGTAATGAGACCTGCTCCTCCAGAACCCTCTGTCTGCGTTATTCCGATGTACAATTTCTATAAATTATATCCTGCTTGATTCCAATCTAATCCCATTGCAAAGGACAGTTGTTCAGGATCATCCATTAAGTGTGCTAAACACAAATAGCTATCGTTCAAAGCATTGAGCTACATCGTTAAATCACAACATAGTATCTCATTACTTCCTAGCCTTTGCAATTTGCGTGTTAGGACAAATAAGCTTGTGTGACATATACAAATCCTATAGACAGTCTCTTCATACCTCTACCGAAAGTTCCCCTTGCGCTTTCAGAGTTGCTTCGGCAGTTCCAGCAAAGGATATCTGTGAAAGGCAAGCGTCTGATGCATGACGCAACAATTTCATGGCACCACCTATGATAGCAGCAGATGCAAGAAGAGTACGAGCTCCATGAACAACGCTACCATCTAAAGTCAGACTCTCTGCACTTCCATTAGCTAACCAGCCATTACCCAAAATCAGAAGACTTAAATTTTCTATGTGAACAGCCATAAACTAAAACATTTCAAAACAGTTCTCAAGTTAGCGTGTAATCTTAGTTGAAATCATTTCATTAGCATAGTACGATAAACTTGACAGAAATAAGTTATCGTATTCATTAGTATATAGATTTAGTGTGATATACATACTTGTACAAAAGTTATAATTATTGGTGGAATTTTTTTATTTTGAAAATCCATTGGCTTCCTTGGTTTTCTTATTATCTGTACAGGTTTTATTGGAACATCTTTATTAATTCTGACATCCTTCATAATCACAGCTAAAAGTTTTGCGACATCACTGCTAAAAAGACTGCTTCTTATACTGATCTCTTCCACTTGCTAAAATTATAAGAAATTAAACACCATATATATATAATTTGATTTTGTTAAAATTTAATAGATCGACTCTCTAAAGCTTTGGAAGATGAGAACACAATGGCAATGTAAATCTTTCTATCTTTTTCTAGAGAAACTTACCAATGTAAAACCATTTTTCGAAATATTTACGTCCCGTAATATAAAATAAGGTAATGAAATGTGACCAACACGTAGATAAATTTTGTATCGTCTCTTTACTAACCATGCCAAGAACCTTGGTATCACCCTGATAGATAAATAAAGTAACATTACTAGTCAATAAAATGTACTAAAATATTATAAATATTATAGTATAATATATATAATCATTATGTATCTTACCAAGTGAAACTACAATAGAGAATGAAACAAGTCATACACAAGGCGACTAAACCAGTCATTTTTACAAATTACATACTGCAGGAAGAATGCGAATGTAATTTTTTGGTAGCACTAACGCAAAAATTATTGTTAAAACAATTAAATAACAATACCAATTTCAGATCGAATACGCTTTAAAATTTTCTGATCACCAGCTGATCAAACTGCTACATACCCATACCCTATACTTGCTTATACGTATTTACATACGTTTTTACTATACTTGGTTCGTTCACAACATATCGATATATCGATGTTTTCGATAATGTGTTTGAAAACTAGCATAACTTGGTATTCGAAACACTTGGCATCATTCAAGGTGGTACATCGAAACAAATCACAAAATTATTATTAGAATATTGTCAAGTGACGAACTTATTTACATATACGGTTATTGTGCAACAAGGAGAAAGTATACTTTGCTCTACGAGTACCTTTACATCGTGCGTTAATATTGACAAAACTTGACGACTAACCTCACAGCTGGGAATTAAGAGTAAGGTTAGTCCATACATATGTATATTTTATTTTGACAATAGCGTAGTTCGTTGTTTAATTAACAAATATATAACAGTACGTGATCGAATATCGAAACAATAAAAGCTCAAGAATTCAAGTAGAGAATCTAATGTACAACGTACAAAAAAAGAAAACATGTAGTACGGGCTAGGGAAAATTCTAATTTCGTTATATGACACAAGCTGCGTGCATGCGCGCGGATGTGTATGTCAATCAAAATCGGGAAAGTTTTAATTCAATAGTTGTACGATTTTATATCTATGTTAATATGTAGATATATCATTAAAAGGGAAGACATATGTAGAAGTTGAGATTACCACCCACGTTGGAAGAATCAGGATAATAATGATAATAACAACGATAATAATAATAACGATATAATAACGATAATAAAGTCGTGAAAGGGTTAACATTTGTAACGATATCATATTTTATTACAGAAAATTATAGAATATTGTATAACAGAAAATATAAACTTGTGAAAAAGTCATAAACATATCAAATTTTATTTGTCCCGTAAAAGTGACGCACACAGATCGTAGTGACATTAAATCATTCTATACCAAATGAAATGCGTAACAACGGAAATTTCACATCAAGTGTCATGTAACGCAAGCCACTTTTTTTTAAAATACTTTACATGTATCTTTTTATACAACCATATAGTGATTGGTGTGGAGAATCGTATCATCTGCTCGCCACGCATTTTTACATACATATGTATTACCGCAGAATGAACCAATGACACTGCCTATTTATTACAATTTTAGACATTAACTTGTAAGAAACTATGACTATGAGAGACGATATACGGCTGGAAGAAAACACTAAATTGAACAAGCTCCTCGAGACTGCTTTTATAGCGAAAATGAACGTGTTATCTTGCTGTTTCAAAATTTGTCAACTTTGAAGCTTTGAAATATGCGAGTCTGTACACGAATAAATACAGCGAATGCAGTACATGATATAAAAAAGAGAAAAGAGATATTAGAAAGGACGCTGGCGTTTGAAAGGCAGAAGTGGCTGGCAAAAAATATGCGAATACGTTGTTGGTATCTATACGTGAATACGCATGTCGCATTTCTAGAACAAGAATCGGAAACATTTAAATTATCGGAAAGAGGTAATTGTATTTTACGACGATATCCATGAAAAATCTAAGACGTACGTTTTGGCTGGTTTACACAGGTTTGTTAGGTTGCTATGCGAATATCGATTCAAACCGCGCGTTCCATCGAAAGAGGCATAAACCGAGTTTTACCGAGAATTCTCGAGAAGAGTCGCACGATGCGGAATCTAGTTTCTCGACAAGTGGGCCTTGTCATGTACTGCAGGATCGTAGACGACCACGATGAATCAAAAGTAAGAAAACAGAATCAAAATTAAAGTAAGAGGCAAATTTTTTAAAATCGATAGGACAAAGGACAAGAAAGAAACAAGAACAATTCGAGAGGACATGACACGACGAGGAATCAAAGAAAAAACGGTGAGTGAAGAGTAGGAAGAGCGATGAGAAAATGGAAGATGTAAGGAGGATGAGAAAAATTAAAGCTGGAAGGAAGACGTTATCTTTATCGTCGTCGTCGACGAGGACGAGGACAAGGACGAGGACGACGACGACGACGACAACGACGATGACGAAAACGACGAATACGACGACGAAGAGAGAAAAGTGACAGATTCGAGGATAATTTAGCAGCGGATGCAAGTATTTACAAACGATCTCGTTACGTTATGCGAAACGAAGGAAGTAGAATTACGAACGATATTCTATCGAAATGGTGCTCGGGGCAAAGCAATACGTTGATGAGACCGGAACGCAGAAAGTTTAGACGCGTGCATGGACTTGAGCTTCCGTTGCATCCTCAACAAGTGACCGGCTGGGTGGTGATCTTAATTATTGTGGTAAATACGTTCGCGGTACTGACGCCGCTTCTCGAACCGAATTTACGTCCGGTTTTTTCGATCGCGATAGCTGCTATCTTTTTTACGCATATTTGCTCTCATTTGGCGGTACTTTTATTGGACCCGGCGGACCCACGCGTCAGATCTCAGCCAACGAACAAGGTTTTACCGGAATTCGACCGAGAGAAACACTCGCACGTGATCGAGGACGGTAGATGTCATCTTTGCAACATAAACACCGAAAGCAAGAGGACGAAACATTGTTCGATTTGCAACAAATGCATCGTTCGATTCGATCATCACTGCAAATGGCTCAACAATTGCATCGGAGCTAGAAACTATCGCGCTTTTCTAGTTTGTTTGATTTCCGCTATTCTAGCAAGCCTGTTCGTTACTGGTCTTTCCGTCATCGAATTGTCCTCCTCTTTATTCTTCGATCGACTCTCAAATCTGACAATGGAGAATAACACAACCGATCCCGTCATTCCCTTTATTGTTCCTGCCTCGGACACCACTCTTATAATTGCCATTTCCGCCATTGGAATTCTCTCGGCGATCGTAGCAATACTTTTACTTCATTTATGCTTTTTTCACGGTTACATCGCCTGTCTCGGATTAACCACCTACGAATACGTACGAAAAAAAAGGGAGAAGAATTCTGTCGCTGCCGCCGTCGCGATCGCTGCAGCCGCCACTGCTGCCGCGGCTGCGGCC